AATTAAAAAAGGGTCAAATAAATATTTATTCAATCAATATCGCAAAAAAAAACCAGTCTTATAAAATTGGGCCCAAGATGCTTTGTCAACTATGTAATCTTTTACAGTATAATAACCCTTCTTAAGGAGGCAACTTTTGATATTTTATGCTTGTAACCTAACTTCATTATTTCTTCTTCGATTATGTGAATATATAAAAAAATGTCTCCAAACCTCATTGCTAATTAATGTACATAATAGTCGAAAAAAAAATTTTAATCATCATACCTATCCGTTCCTGTGGTATAATTTCCTGTACCTCCAGTCACTAAGTTCGCTATAGGTGTCAATTCTGGCGTAATTTTCTAAACTTAAACATAAATTTGACAACAGTGTATCCTTGTCGTTCTGTATACAGAATGAAAAGGAGAGAGCGATGTTAAATTTAGTTTTAAGTTTAGAGAATCATGCCAGAATCGACACCGTTATCACTATAATCATGAGAATTTCAGGAGCCTACTCGTTCAAAGTGTGTAATTTATTTTCTTCCGCTGTTTACAATGCCATGATACGTGTTAGTTTTAAAGTAGCTTGTAACGAAGATTAACCTCGAGATGATTAGGAAGTTACTAATTTTATTTTACATACTCGCTGGTAATGCGTCAGCTACTTAACACATTGTGAAACAAAAGACGAGAAGCGATATTTTGTGAATACGATAATTTTTGCTCGTATTTTTTTTATAGAGACAGGTAGGTAAATGACTCTACCCCACCTAATGTAAAGTGGTGATAAAGTCCAGACGTGAATATAGCTGGTACAGCAGTTATGAACTGTCACACCAACCATCCTCACCTTGCCGGCCTGCAAAAATGCTTCTTCACGTCTCTCTAAAAAGACCCCAGATTGTATGTAGAGTCTGTGAGGAAAGAGAATGGGATTTAGATTGGAGGGCGCTGTAGTGCTTTTCTACCGTATTTGTAAGGTTTTAGCCCTTTTAGACATGATTAAATACAAAAAACCGCAAGAAATCACAACAACAAACAAATCTGTATCAATACAAAATTTTGACGTTTTACAGATTGCTGGGTTTGATTGCCAAATAAAAATCTTAATGTTAGTTCTGTTTTTCGCCACGCCCATTCTCTTGCCGCTCAGACTCTAGGACGTGCACACGTGCACGGGTAAAGAATTCCACTTACGATTAGTATGACGTTAAAATGTATGTTTTGTTGTAAGCTTCAGGGACGGTTTTAAGCCGTCTACGTCTGGTCGTCAGTTAGGTCGACGCTACGGAGGTTTTTTAACGAAACCGGCGCTAGTGACGGGTTGTGGTTGGTACAAACCGTGCTCATAAATAAGTTTAGCTGGCACCGGCTCGGGTAGAAACCGTGCCTAGACCCGGGTAGAAACCGTGCCTCGACCCGGGTAGAAATCTTTGTATGTCAATTTGTCGCGCAACTTTCTTATTTTTCTTAAGAATATTTTACAAATTTCAGAATACTTAATAAGGATGAATTAGATCAGTCAAGTCCAAAAGGAAAAGGGATCCACATTTTATATACAGAGATCTCGCAATTAATTACAAATTTGTAAAACTATAGCAGATTTAACGATTCATAATTTTATGTACATTGCACTTATTCCAAATAAAGTTATTATTATTATTGTATCGGATGTAAGATTGGCGACGCTCAATAAATAAATAAATATTTCCAACACTCACACCAACACTCACTCACTCACACCAATTCTCTGTAAACCCTACAAGAGTTTTATTAGTATTAAGATCTTTTTAATTATTATATTTCAATTCATTGATAGGACCAATTAACAATGTGAAAGCGAAGAAACCAACCATGATAAATTAATATTAATACCACAAAGGCATAAAAACTTAAGCCCTTAACAAGCATCCTGATATTTTATGTTCATCTCAGAGCTATTGAATAGCTTTATATAGATAGCATACGATTTGAAAATTGGTAGTAGGTAGTATTAATTTTATTTTAGACAAAAGCAAGGAATTGGCATAGAGTTTACCATAGCTATCATGATGCTCATTATATTGGTAAGGCGTTCATTATTACAAAAATAAAAATAATAGATTACGGACAACTTAAAAAACTAGTCTCAAGATTACCAGCTCTTTCAATATGAAAATTATAATTTCCAATTCGCAAGTAATATAATAAATGTGCATTAAAGTGGGCTTGACTTGAAAGCTGTATTATATCTTGTTATCGGGAGCCATAATATTTATGAGGCTATTACTAGATACAGAAAGATTATATTATTATTACATAGTTCATAATAAAGCGTTTTAAAAGGCAACCCCTGTACAATGGGTCCCTTGGGCTTCATGGTCTCTCATTGTGAGCAGTTAAAATGACGAGAGTAAGATAGGGGTGGTCGGTCATGAATGTACGATCAGCCAATTTGATTCCTGACCCACCTTGCGCTTATTTTGTTACAACCATTTCAAAACAATAAGGTAGATTTTTGATTAGAGTCTGCGCGGAAAGAGAATGGGATTTAGATTGGAGGGCGCTGTAGTGCTTTTCAACCGTATTTGTAAGGTTTTACACCTTTTAGACATGATTAAATACAAAAAACCGCAAGAAATCACAACAACAAACAAATCCGTATCAATACAAAACTTTGACGTTTTACAGATTGCCGGGTTTGATTGCCAAATAAAAATCTTAATGTTAGTTCCGTTTTTCGCCACGCCCATTCTCTTTCGGCACAGACTCTAAATGTATGTATACTTGGAAACATACTTGTTATTATAATTTTTATTATTTTTAAAGCATGTAACTGCTTGATGTTTAAATCTAAAGAAAATATAACTAGAAAAAATTCCACGCGGACCAGGCAGCAGACGGGACTCGAACCCGCACCCTTCGCAATCCGGGCGAATGCACTGACCAATTATGCTACCGCGGCCCTCACGGACCGCGTCGAAATTCTTTCTAGCTATTCTTAAGCTGCAAGGCAGCGCCATCTCTTCGCATTATAGGTAAACCCACAATGTCAAATGAATACTTTTACAAGTATTAAACATTTGAAAGAAGAAATAGCAATTATAGTTATAATTTTTATTATTTTTAAAGCATGTAACTGCTTGATGTTTAAATCTAAAGAAAATATAACTAGAAAAAATTCCACGCGGACCAGGCAGCAGACGGGACTCGAACCCGCACCCTTCGCAATCCGGGCGAATGCACTGACCAATTATGCTACCGCGGTCCGTGAGGGCCGCGGTAAAATTCTTTCTAGCTATTCTTAAGCTGCAAGGCAGCGCCATCTCTTCGCATTATAGGTAAACCCACAATGTCAAATGAATACTTTTACAAGTATTAAACATTTGAAAGAAGAAATAGCAATTATAGTTATAATTTTTATTATTTTTAAAGCATGTAACTGCTTGATGTTTAAATCTAAAGAAAATATAACTAGAAAAAATTCCACGCGGACCAGGCAGCAGACGGGACTCGAACCCGCACCGCGGTAGCATAATTGGTCAGTGCATTCGCCCGGATTGCGAAGGGTGCGGGTTCGAGTCCCGTCTGCTGCCTGGTCCGCGTGGAATTTTTTCTAGTTATATTTTCTTTATACTTGTTATTTTCTGAACAATTTTGATTCTGTTTTAACATTTTTACAAGGCTCTATCCTTTATTTAGTTTACTTTAAAAGGTATTCAATATCGCCCTTCTACCTGATGTTAGGTGTCAAAAAATAATGAACATAGTTGTCAACCTGAAACCAATTTTCTGAAACGCGGAACCCTGGACTCAACGGCCCGCCTGTAGTGTGCAGTAGGTAGTTCATAAAAATGTACGACAGTGAATTTAGGAATACAGGAAAAAGAGATTTTTGATACGCGATACGTTGCGGTCTTAATATTGTTGGCCAAATGCTAAGAAATAAGTTTCAAATTTATTATGTAAATCTAAAACTCTTATATGATAAAACCAAACTTGACTCAGATCAATTCGCAAGATATTTTTTTGTCGAAATTGTCCTTAGTTTTCATGTCTCCCTACAGGTCAAATACTTAAATAATAAAATAAATTAATTGCTCATACCATTGTAAATAGAGAGTTCAATGCTCTTCGACGCATTTAAATGTCAGCAACTGCATCAGCCGGGAGCCCGCTACGTGAGCCAGCAACACATCCAAGACTTATCCCAATCCACCAGTATTCCGCAAAATGGTCCTTAAAACAACAGAGATAAAGTTCCATCTGGTGGAACCATCAGAGCATATCGTTTTAAGGGACACTTAAGAGTTTGATTCATTCGATATCGACTTCTTTAGTGTCACGAACAAAGTTATCATCACGTACCTACTTTTTCTTTAGTTCCACGATCGTTTCTTACGGTGTTAATGGTCGATATAATGTCGTTGTATTATTGTCTCGCAAAGGGAATTACTTAACGAGCAAAAACTACGGCGGCGCGTCAGTAAATATGTAACTTTGTGTTATGTAATTTGATGCTTCGTTTTGCATCACATCTTGTATTGTGTATTTTACAGTCTTTTGTCTACAAAAAAAATCACCAATTACAGTCAAATCATATTGCAACTTAGATTTTGCACGGTGACTAAGTCAAATTTTCCAAATTAGATATTTTTTTCAAAGTTTTAAAGATTCACAAACAATTAAAAAACTTCAGAATTATGTATTTTTACATTAATTATTCGCCATATTGTTTGCGAGATTGTTATAGTATTAAAAAGTGGCAAAAATATAAAATATACTTTTCATTTTCAGCATTTTAAATTTTAATGTTTATTTCTGAAATTGGCATTCAAAATTTACCATCAATCAATCTTTCTTAATTTACCATTCAAAAGGCAAATCACATTATCGTAAAAAACAACTCCTACGTGTATGCTTAACTTTGACAAATCTAATCTAGAATTCAATTCACACGCCGTGTTTACGATCAACTTCCTCACCGTAACAACATACTCCGTAAGAATTACAATTGATCCACATTTTCCTTTCCAGATACCATGCGGGTGTGATGACTCAGGCGCGGGAAGCACTCGGCATCATGGACGGGAACCCACCCAACTGCGACTTCTCCACGAAGACTCAGCGGGGAGTCTACCTCTCCAAGAGTCTCACTTTCGTTATCCTCGTCATATTCGCCTTGGCACTAGTCGCGACCTCCTTCATCGTCTATAACTTCGCGGCCTGCCCCAGAACCGACCAATTAGCTAACGTCACGAAGTACGAACTCACGCATTGCGATCAGAACAAACTTCTGGTTCTACCGATCACCACTGAGTCTAGTAAAAGCGTCATCCCATTAGAAACTACCACCCTTCCCACTACCACCGAAGAAGCGGAAGTGACAGTCACCGATGTACGTTTACCGAACAACATCAAACCTGATCGGTATTACTTAAAATTGACCCCTTACATATACGAAGGTAACTTTACGTTCGACGGTGTTATAAGTGTTGTGGTGACAGTGAAAAATGACACTAAAGAAGTGACTTTCCACGGTGTTGAATTGACTTTTGACAGTATAAAGTTGTTCGAGAAAGCTGGTGATGGAAGAGAGATAGCCGTCATGACAAAAACAGAAGATGTGCCGAGACAGTTTCATATATTAAAACTGAACGAAACTTTGAAGGCGGGCAAGCAGTATGTGTTGAATATAACATATACGGGGATCCTAAACGATAATCTTCACGGCTTCTACAGAAGTTCTTATGAGGACAAGAATGTTACGAGGTATGTAAGATTATTTATCTATTTTCCATTGACGACACTGTAAATACACGTAATTTCATTATCGACCATTATTCTTTGCAATACTGTAATTTAATATTTGAAGCTCATAAAAAAGCTTATTATAAACCTTTATTTGCCTTTTTAACGAGAACTAAAGAGGAAAAAATCACATACAAAAATATCGGGGTTTTAACTATAAAGTCAGCCTAGTGTCTATTACGCATAGTCTTAACTTGAGAGCGAATTTAAAGTCGATTTGGTAAATATTTTTTAAGGGTCTTATGAAGAGGAAAATAACAGATTTTCCGCAGAAAGAAAATCTAAGAAAAATCAACTTCATTTACAACTCTGTCGAATGGGTGGCGCTTTAAATTTTTTATCGGACAGAACAACGTGTATTTGGTCCACTAGTATTTTAAAGACAATGTTAAATTATTCGTAAAATGTTGTGAAGATTTAAAACAAATTTTAAATAGGTTAAGAACAGGACCAGGACTTTTCAAAGGAGTTGTAATTATGCTGCTGATTTCAATGATAATAAAAAAAACTTTGGGACTTTCATTTCACTCACTGTAAGTTTGAAAAGAATATAAAAAACACGTTTTGGGTTTTCCAAAGTAGAATTATTTTTATTACTTATCACAAAATTTATTTATCATCATCATCACCTTCTTATTGTGCTCGATGGCGCAGGTGGTTAGCGCGTTCAGTCTGCGATCGTGGAAGTTAAGCAACTCTCTCAATGGTCGGTCATTGGATGGGTGACCAAAATCTTCGTGTGAGGAACCTCCACCTTACAGAAGACCACAGTAAAATTACACTACCTTTTGTTGGCAAAGTGTTTCGCCGCAGCGGCCTTGGTGTCGTGACACTATGCTGAGGCAGGGAGGGACCTTGTTAACCTTATTCTGTGTTTTTATTTATGGTTTTATTTTTCAGTTTTATTGGTCAATAAATTATTTCTTTCTTTCTTCTCCCTTTCTTCTTTCTTTCTTTCTTCTTTCTTTCTACTTTCTTGCTTCTTTCATTCTTCTTTCTTTCTTTGTTCTTTCTGTCTTCTTTTGTTCTTTTTTCTTTCTTTCTGTCGGTGAGAAAGGTTCCAGAACTCCATGGGGTAGAGGATGTGGTCAAGGTTGGCAACAGCGATAGCTTTGGTACCTTTGGTATCTAAAGGCTATGGTGACCGCTTATCACCATATGTCTGTTTGCCACCCTTTTATCATAAAATAAAAAACTTATTAATTCGAGCTGCTCCGCCAATCCGCACTGGGCCCACGTGGTTGTGAGTCATGGCCCAATATCCCTATTCCACATATTATATATGGGAAAGGCTTGTGCCCCAGCACTGGGGACATTATTAGGCTGGTGATGATGATGATACCAGTGATCTAGTAGCAATTTAGATGAGGATGAATCTTTAATTTGGTCGGTCCATGTTGCTGGAGAATTTCCGCGCGATCTTTTGCATTCGCTGTTACCAATTGGTCCGCAATCATAATAAGTTTTTCAAATTTGCTTTGCGCACGAACAAAGTTCTGATAATATCGATGTAATAGAAGTAGGATTAAATTTAAGAGCAATGACGTATAATATATAATAAATAAATAAAATAATAAATATTTCCAACACTCACACCAATTAGCCTAGCCCCAAAGTAAGCACTGTAAGGCTTGTGTTATGGGATGCTAGGGTAACGGATAGAATACATATACTGTACATATTTAAGTAGATTTATATAGAAATACATATTAAACATCCATGACTGGAGTACAAATGCTCGTATTCATCACACAAACATCTGCCCCTACCGGGATTCGAACGCGGGACCTCTCGAGTCGGCGTCACCATGAAACTCGGCCACAGAGGTCGTCATATATATATAGACATGTTATACGCCAACAATGCATTTTCAAATGGCACAAGTAGTCCCCGCCTTAAATTCCAACTTCCTTTAGAAACAGCCGCCGGTAGAGCGCACTAAAGTAGTCTCTTTCACTCTCATTCATAAAGCAGTTTACATCTCGCTCTTTTGCCTCCACGTGTCACCGGTGTCAACAACTGTCAAAATAAGTAGTCCCTAAATATTTTTCCATGAATTTCTTTACAACTGTACTAAAGAATGAAATAACATTTTTCTTGTCTCTAGTTTTAGTTCCCGTGTAATTTGTGTACTATCTAAAAAGACAAATAGGGTTTTTTATCTAGAAAACCGTACAATATTTACACGTTATAGCGAAGTGTAGCCGCGACGAGAGAGCGTGCCCGACTGAATGCAAGCCGGGCAATTACCTGGCTCTCGTATTGCCAAATTAGAAGCGTGTATCGCGTATAATACGTATAATTTTTATAACTAGTTTATATATCTATATAAGTAATCATACAACCAATGTGCGCACACATAAATCGGCTACAGTATTTACGTACATAGAGGGGACCCTGTTGCCTGTAATACAGGTTATCCTACCACTGTCAACAGAAGTCACCTTTAACAATATTTAAGCTCCAATGTGCCTCTTGTCACCAATTTTTGTATTATTAATTTAAAAATATTGTATAGGTACTAGCGCCCCGCCCTCGCTTCGCTTCGGTGTAGAGTACAGTTTTTGTTCTCAGGCTTGTATTATACACAATGATATTCAACTATGATTCTTTTTATACCTGCATGCAAAGTCTCAGCCCGATCGGTTTAAAATTGACAAAGTTTCATACAAACTTTCATTCCCTATTTTATCCCCTTGGGGGTAGAATTGATCAAAATCCTTTCTTAGCGGATGCCTACGTCATAATATCTACCTGCATGCCAAATTTCAGCCCGATCCGTCCAGTGGTTTGGGCTGTGCGTTGATAGATCACTATGTCAGTCAATCACCTTTGAGTTTTATATATATAGATTGTAACTTGCTTTAAGTCAATAAACGTTTATTATTATTATTAATATTACTATCATCACGTATCTATAACTATAAAACAAAAGGGACGCGAGCTGAGAGACATTTGATTAATAGGTATTTGAAAAGCCTATTGCTGTCGTGCAATGACAGTGCCGTGTGATATGGACAACACTAGGTAACGCTGTAAATTGCGTGAAAAATTTTGCAAAATTTGAGATCTCAATCTCGACTTGAATATCCCCACTAAACGTTAGTGATGATAATTTTTTTTCTTCTAGTTGCTTTGAATCATAAGTTATCAAAACGGGAAGACAGGAGCATAGAATGAGTGAATCTACATATATTTAATGTACGAAAATCGTATCTCTAGTGGTAAAAACTAGAGCTTCCGCCTGAGATCCGTCACGCTAAATCAATTAAAAATATTCTACATGATTTTCTTTTACTTAAATCCTAGTCTGCTGTATCTATAAATATATAATATTGCATAATATGTTTATTTGTGTAGGTATATATAGTATGTAAATATTTGTGTAGGTATATGTTATTTATTTGTTTATAAATTATAATCTTTATATGTTTAAGAAAATATGTACATTTCTTTATTTTATCTTGCTGGCATACTGCAACTTCCTCTTCGTTTAGTTATCCTTTACCGCAAAGGTTGTCTGGAAGAGATCGCTTAAACCGATAAGGCCGCCTTTGCCCACATTATGTTATTGTTTTCTTATTTTTGTATTCTTTTGTGTGTGTGCAATAAAGAATTTATCTATCTAAAAACCAAGGCTGAATCAGCCAAGAACGTTGGTATGGAAAAAAAACATTGTCCGGCTCCTCTCTTAACTGTTGTTCGGAGATGACCTTTACAGCGTCACCAGGTTTGGGGACGGCGAGATCCTAAGGGGGCCTCAATCCAAGAATTGACGAGTGCCTTTAGAGGTATTCGAGGCGGATGGCATCTCCCCACGGGGAGAGTCTCCTCTCCGTCTGGAGCCTCTAGACCACTGGAGCCTGAGCAAGGGCGGATCCAACTTTGGCGCCAGGGGGGGTCATATAGTCGTGGTCAAGTCACAGTGGGTACAGATTGTGAAGTACAGATTGTGAAGTACAGATTGTGAAGTACAGATTGTGAAGTACAGATTGTGAAGTACAGATTGTGAAGTACAGATTGTGAAGTACAGATTGTGAAGTACAGATTGTGAAGTACAGATTGTGAAGTACAGATTGTGAAGTACAGATTGTGAAGTACAGATTGTGAAGTACAGATTGTGAAGTACAGATTGTGAAGTACAGATTGTGAAGTACAGATTGTGAAGTACAGATTGTGAAGTACAGATTGTGAAGTACAGATTGTGAAGTACAGATTGTGAAGTACAGATTGTGAAGTACAGATTGTGAAGTAGGTACAGATGGACCCAGCCCAGGGGGGTCATGACCCCCGTGACCCCCTCTCTGGATCCGCCCTTGAGCCTGAGGGGGTCGGCTCAACTAGAGGGCGTTTCTGAGACTAGGACCTCGGCTTTAGTTAGCCATTGTCGTGGAGACTTAACGCATCCGATATTGTCGCCTATAATAATGCACCTATGGGGTTAAGGTTTTAAGAGCGTTCGGACAGCGTTTGTTATGAAACGATTCTAATATCGATTATGATCTTTATTGTCACGTGATTTTATGATCTGGACAATAGATCATTATTTGCTATTCCGCAGAGGCCGCACTGATGCGGAATTACTCTAACCACAATACGGCGATCACACGTTGAATACTAATGCTCTATTTGATTCTTTAACCAGTAAACGCAAGGATTTATTTACAGTTACAGAACCATTAAATGTGATGGTAATTTATCGACATGTTGTTCGGTTTGTTTATGTTTAGTCTGAGTCAATCTTCAATTGAAATGTTTTTTGTTTTGGTAAAATGAGCTATCTTTATTTTATATTTAACTTTATGTAGTACTAGTGGCGGGCCCTCGCTTCGCTTAGGTGTAGAGCTGAAGTGTAGACTACAGTTTTAGTTCTCAGGCGTGTATTATACACAATGACATTCATCTATGATACTTCTTATACCTGCATGCAAAGTCTTAGCCCGATCGGTTTAAAATTGACA